GAGTCGGACAAGCCAAAAATGGACACCAGGCTATGCCATCTCTCGGCTCTCTGACTTGAGACAAGTACTTGACCCAGTGAGCCACAGTTTGCATCAAATTTCCGTCAAATGAGGAGTGACAGGTTGTGTGACAGGCATCTAGTAAAGAGTCTGCATGGAATGGATGTTCATCTCTTCTCAGTTCCAAGTTTCTAGTGGAGTCAGTGATTTCTTTGGAGTCGAAGTGAGGTATTGACCAAGGAAGAGAAAAGGTGTTTTCTGCATTGCTATGGATAGGATATTTAAAAGAAAGACCCTTCTTTTATTATGGGGACAACTCTGTGCATAAAAGAAACATGAGGAGTTAGTATAAATTACAGACTTGTTATTACTTGTTCATATTTAAGAACTGATGTTCACCTGTGTCCCCTTAGCATGCAAAGCATCATCACAGGTACGGGCAATTCTTGTTAGTGTTTGCTTAGCTCATGTGCACACACCATTGTCTGCAGAGCCAACAGCCATTCCCCTACCCTTCTTCTAGGGTTCTTTCTCTGGGGGCTGAAAAGCCAGATGCTTTTTCCCCAGCCTTCTTTGCAACTAAACAAGGCCATAGGATGTAATCTTGACCAGGGGAACTGTGGAAAGGTATACTCGAGAAAACTTCCGGAAAAGGTTTTCCTCTCCCTCTGGTAAAAAAAAGAGTGCTTCACAAGGAGAAGCTCTTCTCTTGTCTTGTCTTGCTGTGTGAGGATGTGATGCTTGAGGCTTTAACAGCATCTTGGACCACAAAGGGAAGAAAGCCAAGCTGGGATAGTGGGACTTATAATAAGAAATGGACATTTGGTCTTCCTCCACTGTTCCTGGCTCACAGCTCCTAAAATCTTGTAATTTCCTATGCAAGAGCCAAAGGGGCATCTTCTGTTAGAATATTTTATTTTGTCCTCCATTCCTGAAATAGCTGCAAGAACAATAAAGATGAAAGGGTGACTTTTCTCATTCATAATAAGCCCCTTTCAATTACACCTGAGTTTATGTTGATGAGGTGATTTTTGGAAAGCCCCCAAGGATGGGGGGGTGCCGGTTGCCAGGGGAACCAGCCAAAATTAGAGGGTTGGAACTTTCAGCCCCACCCCCAACCTCCCGGGAAGAGAGAGGGGAAGGAGAATGAGTTCATCATCAATAGCCAATGATTTAATCAGCCATACCTATGGAATAAAGCCTCCATAAAAACTCAGGAAGGTGGATGCAGAGAATTCCAGGTTGGTGACCATCTGTGTACCAGAAGGAGGTGCACCCCGAACTCCATGAGGACAGAAACTCCTGTGCTCAGGACCCTTCTAGACCCTGCCCTATGTATCTTTTCACCTGGCTGGTCAGTGGTATCCTTTAATATGCTTTGTAATAAACGGTTAATCTAGTAACTAAACTGGTTTCCCGAGTCCTGTGAGTCACTCTGGCAAATTAAATTGAACCTAGGAGGGGGTTGTAGGAACCTCTGATTTATATAGTCTATCTGTCAGAAGCACTGGTGACTGACTACCAGACTTGGGATTGGCATCTGAAGCGTGCGCATGCGTGCGTGCGTGTGTGTGTGTGTGTGTGTGTGTGTGTATGGCAGTCGGGCGTGGGGGGGGGCTATCTTGGGGAAGAGAGCCCTGAATCCGTGGAATCTGACACCATCTCTGGGTCAGAATTGAGTTCAATAGTAGGGACATCCAGTTTGCGTCACAGAATTGCCTGACGTGTGGATAATCTACACCTCTAGTGTCACGTGAAGTAGTGTTGGGGGAGAGTCCTGTGAGCAAAGGAAACACACCCCAGGGGTGCTGTTTTTTCCTGTCCAGAAGAACCGGAGAGAAGCTGCCCAGAGCTGCCCTGGTCTAATTGAGCTGTGAAATAACCAAACCCCTGTTGGGAGCATTCATGTGCCTAGAGGTTCATTTACGAACACTTCGGGGTTGTGCCTTGCTTCAGTCCTGTGTTCTGTTCCAGGCTGCCAAAAACACTCTGACAGACAAGTTCTCTTCAGATTTGCTCTGGAAGAATAATTGAGTTCCTGTGCTTCTGTTTCTTTTCTCCAGTGGGGAATTAAAAGCCTAGAGGTCAGACATCACATGTTAGGTGTTTTTGATTCCTCCATCCACTTACTGTTCAATGAACCATTCATTGTTTATTCAATCAATTCAGTACGTATTCAATATGTACCAATTCTTTATTCTGGCGGTTGACTTCTGCTGGCCTTCTCCCTGCTATAGCATCACCACCTCCAGGAAGTCTTCCTGGGATGCCCACACCCAGCTAAATGCCCTTCCTTGGTGCATCCATAGCAGTCAGCCATGACATCCTTTTTGGCATTTGTCATATTATATTGAAATAATTTGTACATCTTTCCAACTGGAATATACTTTTCCTAAATGCAGGAACTAATCATAGCCCCCTCCCTCCCGTTCTTCTTTCTTTTCTTCCTGGTTCCTTTACTTTTCTCCTCCTCCTCTTTCTGGTCCTGCTCTTCTTCCTCCTCTTCTTCTTCTTCCACTCTCTACTCAGAGTATTGCAAAGTTCTTGGCCACCAATGAGTATTCAAAACTCCTTGTTGACCAGAATTGAACTGGATTCTGTGAGAAACACAGAAGAATAACACAGTTGATAATTAAGGGCAGAGATGGTGCTTTTTAACTTTGTAATCCTATTGCATGACCCAGAAAAAGTGCTTAGCATGTGTTTGCTGAATGAAAAACTTGGGCTCAAGGAGAATTGACATGACAAAACTGATATAAGAACCATTTCGGATATGAGTTACTGCTACCTCTCGTAGCATTAGCTAATAGTGATGTTTCATAAATATGCATTAAATAAATAATGTATGCCTTTAATGCATCCAGAATTTAAAATTAAAAATGTTATGTGTTGTGAAGTATCACTCTATCCTGGTAGCTAATATCTTTGCCTCATTTTGTACATAGTTTATTCTTTTTCTGGGATTTGAATTATTAGCTTCATTCATATACCAAGTACTCATATGTAAAATGGATCATTTTCTGAAATCCTTATTTTATTACCTTGCACCTTGCAACAATGCCACACTGTTTTCATCTGTGTGTGTCTGTGAGTGTGTGTATCCCACATTTGTCTTCCTTTAATTTCCAGCATTTTTCAGTAATCCTTAGACATTTCAGGAGCCAGATAAACTTTAGGCTTTAAGATTAAGCTCCATCAACATCTCAGAATGATTTCCTGAAGTTGAGATAGTACTAAATTTAGAGATTATGAAATGCAATATGGCTCAGTGAATAAAAGCACAGCTTTGGATTCAAATGCCCAGAATGAAAAGAATGGCTTTGCAACTTTCTAACCTGTGGTATCTGACGAGTCAGTGAATCTGTTTCTTCATGTGTAAAATAAAAATAATAGTACTACCTACACATACAGTTGTTAACTAGATAGAATAAGAAAATGCATATAAAATATTTATCCCTGTGTCTGGCACATAGAGAGTGTTAACAGATATTAATTAGATACTTAACTTCCCAACATTTTCTGGAAAGTTCCCACACCCCCATCCATAGCTGATTGGGTGAGGGTGATGCTCTAACCCAAGGGAACCAGGTCACAGGAAGGGTTGAGTCATTCAGATTTTCTATGTTTTTAAGAGACCCTGAAAATTCTTCGATGATGGTGGTGGATTGAGGACGATGCAGTTGGACAGAGACCTAGGGGCTGCCAGCCACTGTGGGTCCCGAGGAAATCAATTGAGCTGAGTTAGAGATGAAGAAAAGCAGAAATAAAAAATTCAAGGTGACCCGTGGTTGGAGGGAGAGAACAGTCTTCCTCTGGCTGGTGGGATGCTGTTACTTGTCATGTGAGTTGGAAAGGCAATCCTTACAATAAATTTCCCTTTCAACTGATCAAGTTTGCCAGATGTTACTTTCAACTCCAACAGCCTGGGGCAGAGAAGGGGTCTAATTTTTATGCTGACTTTCTCATCAGATTGTTTTCAGGATCTAATGAAGCAATGTAAAAAACTTGAAAAAAGGGAAATCTGACTCTTGAATTTTTCTATAGAAATATTAGAGAATTGTAACATTGGTCTATCCTCCTCACAGTTGATTTCCTAAATCCAATGAAGTGACATATCAAGGAGAGTCATCTAAAGTGAAAAGGATCACAGCCATCCATGTGAGAATGGTGATTACACTGCTCACAGGTGCCAACGCTGTATCTAGAATGTTCTTTTTTTTTTTGTATCTAGAATGTTCTGAGAATCACATGAATGATTGCTATTGGATTGCTTCATGTTGCCTTCATCTTAGGTGCAAAGTTCTTACAAGTATCTGTGACCTTTGGAACATATGTGTTTTATAACTAGGAAACATATCCTGGGATCCAAAGACACATGTGTGACGACTTACACACTGTCACATTAAAACGGCTTCAACATTCTTGTCTGAGCTATTTTTAAAGGTATTAACCCTGAGGCATTAATGGTTAAGCCTCCAATGAAGATAGGAATGACTAATAGAAGTACGCTGTAAGGAAGTACACTCTTGTACCATACATGATTCACGGTGTATAGAAAACACTTTGTAACACGTTTGTTTGCTCTGACAACTCAGGTTCACTTTGAACAATAAGGAAACACTGAAACCTCTTGGTCTTTGTGCCAAAAGCTAATCCTAATATTCTCTAAAACCCTTTGTGACCATTTTATTCTGACATTCTCTGCCCACGTGCTGTAGCAAAGACCTTGAAACATGTCTCTTCCCCAGGCCAGTGCAACAGACATGACAGATTGTCCCATGAGATACTATTTTATAGCTAGCACATTGGTAACCAACCTTTTTGGTTTGTGACAACAAAAGAGTATCATTTTTAACCATAACTTTGACATTTCTCACTACTTAATGGAGAGGTTCTCCTAAGTAAACATGAATAGTGATTTTTAAGGACATTTGAAAGAACGCAAGTAGTACCTAAAAAGAACATCAAAATCCTGAACTATTGCACTACTATGTATTTACCCAGAACTTTCTTGATCCAAATCCTCGATTTTTCATCCAGAAGCTTCTGTCGTTCCGGGTTACTGGGCCCAGTGTAGCTGAATACTGAAACACTGTTCTCTAATCTTTTCTTCTGCACAATGAAAATGGGACTTTTGAAGTGCTCACTGATGGCTTTACTTAGAAAACAAACAACAATATGACGCTGAAAGAGACCTGAAATACAGTGACTCTCCAATTTATTGTTGGAGCCAGGATAAATTTTGGGGCTGAAAGAATTGAAATTAAATATGTTTTTTAAAATGTTTTTTTTTTAAGATTTATTTATTTATTTGAGAGAGAGAAAGAGAGAGAATGCATGTGAGAGTGCAAACAGAGGAAGGGGCAGAGGGAGAGGGAGAGAATCTCAAGCAGACTCCCCACTGAGTGCAGAGACCCATGCGGAGCTTGATCTCAGGACCCTGAGATCATGACCTGAGCCCAAATGAAGAGTCAGAGGCTTATCCAACTGAGCCACCCAGGTACCCCTTAAAATGTATTTATTGACTGACAAATTAACTGTATGATATTGATGATCTATAACCCAATTCTAGTCAAACCTATTTTTAAAAATAATTTTTAAGTAAAAATAACATACTCAGAAAAAAACAATATATATCTATGTACATTAAAGCAAATGTCAAAACTTCTTTACATTGATTATCTCAAACAAAAAATAATCTAAGTTGAATGAACAATCTTAGAGTGTCTTTAAAATTATGTACTTTCCTGAAAATTTATTCGACAGTCTTATCTTTCATTTTAATAAAATTGTTTTTAATCTTCTTCAAAGTTTTACTTTAAAATTTAAAAATTTGACATTTGACACTTCCAACTGACTCATTTCTCTAGAACACACTTTAAAAAGCTCCCTTCAGGGGCGCCTGGGTGGCTCAGTCATTAAGCGTATGCCTTTGGCTCAGGTCATGATCCCAGGGTCCTGGGATTGAGCCCTGAATCGGGCTCCCTGCTCAGTGGGAAGCCTGCTTCTCCCTCTCCCACTCCCTCTGTTTGTGATCCCTCTCTCTCTATGTCTCTCTCTGTCAAATAAATAAATAAAATCTTTAAAAAGTTCCCTTGATACTGAGAAGTCTAAGTATTTCACTCTTCAAAATTTGTCCCTGGGCCTAATTTTGCCTCATTCAGAGTACCTTTCTTCGTCAGATGCGGTAGTAGAAAAAACTCTTCAAATAGGTTATTTCTGTTCATAATTCTTTAGAATTTTTTGTCAAACATATTAAGAAATTTTAGAATGCAAACTTGTAAATTACACTTTCGACACTGTTAATTTTTTCCCTTGCTTTTGGAGGGATATTTCAAGATCTTCTTGTTTATAAGCTTTGTTTTACTAATTGCAACTTAAGAGCTTCAGAAGGCCCCGGAGTTATTTTGCTGTTTATTTTGGGCAGTGGTGATGTGCATGCCATTTGTCGAATACTTTGATTCAAGATTCCATCTAGTTTTGAACAGAATATAACCAAAATGTAGAGGTCTTTTTGCAAAAAGTTTAATGGCATTGTAGGACATTTGGGTTGATTTACGGAGTAGTTCTGCAAAAATCAAACGTTTCTAAAATCTGAATAAAGAAAGGGAATAAACAATGTAGACGTACATAGATTGATTTTTTAAAAAAATATTCAACATTAGCTGAGTCAACAATTTTGTAGTTTAGCTACTAGGGATGATTATTTGCCTGTGGGTGTACATATCGTGTGTATGTATTTATTTTTACATTTTGACAACTACAGCTTTTATTTTGATTGGTAGATTCCCTATAATTTATCTGAATGGCTTTTTTAAAACTGAGGTACAATTGACATAAAACGTTGTATTAGTTTCCAGTGTGTATGAATGGCATTGTTAATTATGTTTGCCTCACAGCCAATTCCAAGCCAGCTTCTGTCATACAGGTTTCTTAATCTTATTTTTACATTACCCTGTAAAGACAAATAACTTGATCTTTAATTTTAATGCTGAATTTGCAGTAACGCTTAAATAGCTCTACCTTGATTTCATGAATTGAAAAAAAAAGATTAATTATTGAAATAATCTGACTTTCCATTTGAAGTATTTATTTATTCAATAAAACTGGAATCATTGAACACTCTGTGAACTTCTTCTGCTCATAGAGACAACACATAAGCCATCATAGTTTCACATTTGGTATGTGCACAAGAAAACTCAGGATGAAACAAGAGCCAATTTAATTTGAAGAGCGATTTGATCTAAATTCAAAGTCATGCTTCATACAGTGATTACAAACACACCTTCTGCCACTTCGTGTGTTAAGTCATGGTGGTTGGGCGCTGTCTTCTCAAATTATGTTGAAATGGATACTGATGCTTCTTCAGTACAGTTGGTCTTTCAGATTCCCTGTGGTTAGTGACATCACAGCAGCCCTCCATGGTGGAAAGTAAATGTTTGCAAGCATTTTGTGACTTAGCATAATTAATTTTCTTGAAAAGAGAAATTTATAATGTATATTTCACTAATTACGCACTTTTCTTTGGTTCTTTGTGCCAACATAATTAATAGCAAAAGAAAAAAAGTGTGTCAAATAAAACCATTAAAATATAGTTGTAGATTTGTATTAACTAATAGATGACATCCTCCTCTCCTACAACATTCTAAAGCAGGCTTCTCAAACTATTTCTTGCACATACTTCATCTACATCTAACCTGTATTTTACCCGTTCCTACATACGCCTCTGACTAGTGGCCTAGGAGCTCTGTGCAGCTTTCAAGCTTCCTTGTGGACCTACCACAGCTGGATGGTATACCAGCTGACCGGTGGCAGGAGCTCCAGCTTCTCTCCCACTACCATTCAAGGATGGAAAGAGTTAGCTGTCCTTAGCTGCTAGTGCCCAAGCACATTTTGCTTTATTTGCAAGTCCCTTGCATGTTGTCACTGAAAGAGAGGTGTTAGTTACATTCTGTCTGGGATGGTCAAGAAAAGAGAGATGTGTTTTTTCAGCCACCTTTCAGATTTAATCATATGTTAACATGGGTCTCTCTTGAGTGCATTCATTTCAACTCCAATAGATAGATCATGCAGAAGGGTCAAGTGCAAAGTCAAGGTCTACCAAACCCATTTGAGCTTATTTCAGTGCAACAAATAGCAATACTTTGTTTAAAAGAAGGAAAGAAAAAAGAAAGAAAGAAAGAAGAAAGAAAGAAAGAAAGAAAGAAAGAAAGAAAGAAAGAAAGAAAGAAAGAAAGAAAGAAAGAAAGAAAGAAAGAAGAAAGACTAGGAAAATGTAAAACAGAGGAGACATTAAAACAGACGAGACACTAAAACAGACGTAAACCAAGGCCGTTCTGCATAAACAGAGATATATGGTCATCCTAGGTAGAGAAGGGAACAGTTAGTTAATGTCACAAAATTACTGCAAACAAATCACTCTCAAACTCAGTGGCCTCAAATAACAATCACTTATTCTCATGGTTCTGTGGGTCAGCTGATGTTCTTATTTCTGCTGGGCTTCCACATGCTTCTAACAGTTAACTGAGATCAGCTCACTGTGGCTGGGCTCTGATCCGTGTTTCTTTCCCCCCACACCCACCCGCCAGGCAGCTCTGCCTGCATAGAGTTTTGCTCAGGGCAATAACAGAACCAGCGGAAGACAAGAACAGCCCTGCCACTCTTCTTCAAGCTTACGTCACGCCAATTAACATCTCATAATCCAAAGCATGTCCTGCAGCCAATCCCAGAGTGAAGGGGTGAAGAGGTAGTTTGCTCTTGGAACTAGAAGAGAAAATTTTTAATATTTTTGAATAGTAACTCAATCTCCCACCCAGGGAATCCCTGGGGAGCCCCAGTTAAGAGTTTTCATCTTTCATTTTGTGACTATTTCTTATGCACTATCTTCCCTGATATAATTTATAATATACGTAACAATGTATCCCTCATTCAATCATCACAATTACATATGCTAGTGTAGCATCATTTCTCATTTACAAAGAAGAGAACTAAGGTTTCAAAGACTTAAGTCTTGGCTAGTGGATGACAGAGGTAAAATTCCTCAGGTCTGAGTGAGCTCACACACAGCCTTTCCTCTTAATTTTTTTTGCTAAAATGCTCTACTTAATTATTTGGCACAAAGAAACTGCTTTCCTGATGGTTGCTAGATATCCCGCTAGCAGTTTGGAACACACTCATTCTCATCTGAGCAGAATATAATTATTGCTATAATTTTGGACTGCTGTAATCTCATTTCACTAAAAAATCACAGTGTGAATCTGAAATATCGGGAAGACTTTGGGGCTAAAGGAAACAAAGTGCCTGGAAAAAGGCTGCCATATGTACAGGATTCAAGTGGCATCTGTGTGCTCATCACAGCCCACCACTCTGTATCTGTTCAATTTGTTCACCAGGTAACTCAAACAACTCATGGGGTTGATGCTAGGATGTGCCCAAGGACCTCTGCCTCTGGCTTATGCCTAACAGGGCAGTTTATTATTTTATTTTGTATCATACAAAGGAGACAGTGTTTCTTCTCTCAAACAACTGGGTAAATAACCTTCCCCATATATTTCTATTGACAGTAGCATGTTTATTATAATACACACTGTGTCTTTCCACGCCATGGCTCTGTGATCAATGGTGTTAACTTAGAAGTGGGCTTCAGGAGCGAGTGGGCTCAAGGATGGAAATGTGGACAGGGTTGATAGTAACACAGATTGTAAAGAGCCAGAGGGGTTCCTGAAGGGAGAGGAGCAAATGAGGACTACCTAGAATCTACAGCCTCTAGCTTTGTTTTCAGCACTGGAAGCCAGGAGCAGAGCCTGGCAGATCTGCCCTTGGGTGTGCTGGAGGCACAGGTGGGAGGCGGGGGCGGGGCGGTGGCCACTGAATTTGGGACTGCTAGCCAGAAATCAAGTGCCAATCCATGGAGATTGACTCAGAATTGGAGCCAAAAGGAGATGAAGATAAGAGGCGGTGTGAATCCTGGAAGGAAAGCAGATTGGAAGCAGGAGCAAAGTGGACAGATGCGAGGTAGCCTGGCACAATCCCAAAGGCAGAATGTGGGTGACGGTAGTGACTTCTAATGCCGGCACCACATGGACTTGGAGGCCCACCCGGGGTGTACTTAAGGAGATGGAGCAGTTGAACAGTAGACAGGCCTGGGATTATGCCTGTTGCCTATCAGTCCATTAGTCTCTCTGGGGCTCCCAGGAGGGAGGTCCTGCCCAGGAGCTACTTCAAAGCCAGTCCTCCTTCTGTGTGACCCTAATCCCCTGTCCCTCAGCACTTCCCAATAGCTTCGCCAGAAGTCTTGACAATGGGCTTAGCACTCAAAATGGATAAGGAAGGACTCCCTTGAATGAACCACAAGGAACCACAGCCTTTTGTTTTCAAGATGTGGCCTCTGCAGACAGATGGACACACTACCACCTGTCCTTTTGCATGGCCATTGGCAACATCTGTTAATTGTGCTGACCTGTCCTTGTAGATGGCAGCGTTCAGGGCTCTTGCTTGGAGTATGGAGTGGCCAGGGGTCATGGTGTCAATCCAATCACAGGCGGATGAAGCCAGTTCCACTCTGCACCAGGATGTGTGAACTCATCCTTCTTTTGTCCAAGTCCAAAAGCCAACACATTCCCCTAATGGCTGTATGCCCCCTGCAGGCCCTTGGAGAACAGTAACTCATTGAAAAATTGAGTCAGGGCTGGTGGGAGCCTCGGAGAAATGGCCACTAGATCTACATGATCTTTCTTTCCCTTTTACCCCTACTACTTGCCATTTGAAACACTTTGTAAACTGTAAAGCACTAGTAAATATCAATTAATATGATTTACTCATTCATTCTACAAATATTTGCTGGGCATCTAGTCTGTACCAGATGCTGGGCTAAGCAATGGCCACACAGACATGAAAAAGACAGTCAACATTCCCAGGACTGCAGAGAGTTGGGGGGACAGATAATATGAATGCATAATCACAGTCGCCAAACCAAGAGAGCGAACAGGAACTCCAAGGTCTACCCTGCCTGGGAGGGCCGTAGGGGTGGAGCATCTATGAGACGCCAGGTTCAGGGGAGGAGGTTCCTGAGCTAAGTGTTGGAAAGGTGGTTGGTTTGTGAGGCAGAAGGAAGAGCAGGAGTGAATCCCTGAGGCAGGGGAAAGTCTGCTGTGGAAAGGGAGCTTTGACTAGGGCAGCAAATCTCAGCTTGTTTCAGAGAAGCGAGCGGGAAAAGGGTGAGAATAGCAACAGGTATGATGAGTCACAAAAGGAGTTTGAACGTTTTGAAGTATGTGATGGAGAGACACTCCAATTTTTTCTCTTTTTAAGACTTATTTATTTTAGAGAGAAAGGGCTCATGAGTGGGGGGAGGGGCCCAGAGAGAGGGAGCGAGAATTTCAAGCCGACTCCCTGATGCGTGTGGAGCCTGACTCTGGGCTCAATCCTCCCCACCACCCCCTGACCCTGAGATCATGACCTGAGCTGAAACCAAAAGTCAGATGCTCAATCAGTAGAGCCACCCAGGTGCCCTAGACACTCAACTGTTTTTAAGAGGGAGATGATTTTTTTTTTTTTTTGACTCTTGATTGCTTTATTATTACTGTTATACTTCAGAAAGGACACTCTGGCCACACTAGGGCTTGCATTCACTTCTGGATAGGTATGAAAATAAACGGGAATTTTTTTTTTTAATTTAAAAAATTTAAAAAAACATGGAGGTATGGTGATCAAAGCCCCATGGTGGAGAGCGACAGTGAAGTGAGATCTGATACAAGGAGGACGGCAGCCCTGTAGAGCACAGAGCATGGGAGGAAAGGAGGGGAGAGTGGTGTTGAGGAGTCAGACAACTTTCATAGTCAAGTTCACACAACCAACAGATGGGTCCAACACGGTCTGGAGCATTGCAGTTTTGTATTGACCTGTCACCTGGGATGCAACTCACTAACCCCCACCTATCGGGGCACCCATTGAACCAAATATGGTGGACACCTGGTAAGGCAGCCATGGCCTCGCTCTAAGCGGCATGTGGCCCAGTGCAGCGTCTTCACCCCGCTGCTTATGAAAAGCACCTGGAGAGCTTTTAAAAATGCAAGGGCTGGGTTCCACCCCAGACTAATTTAATCAGAATCTCTCATGGGAAGGATGTAATTCCTAATTGAAGTGTAAGGTAGGAAACGGGAAGGTGCCCAGGTTATTGGGGAAGATGAGCTGACACGTTCTGAGTGTGTAGAGGAAGGGGCCTTGGGAGGGGGAGCGTGAGGAGGCGACAGGTGGGGGGTGTGTTCGCAGAGGGGGTCAGCCAGCATGCTCCCCATGAGCCTGTACTCTGGCTCTCCCTCTCCTCTCTGCTCTGCCACCTCAGGCATTTGTCTAATGTCTCTGTTCTCAGCATTGTCAGAGGCATCGACACCACAAACTCGGGGCTTCAACAGAAATTTATTCTCTCACAGGTCTGGAGGCCAGAAGTCCAAGGTCGCGGTGTCCGTGGTGTTGGCGCCTTCGGAGGCTGCGAGGGCGGATCTGTTCTCAGCCTCTCCCCCGCTGCTGATGGTTTGCTGGCAATCCTTGGTGGTCCTCGGCTTGTAGAAGCATCACGGGGACGCCTGTCTTCATCTTCACACAGCGCTCTCCCCGTGTACGCGTCTGGGGCCAAATCCTCCCATTTTATAAGGACACAGTCATACTGGATTAAGGCCCATCTCAATGACTTCATTTTAATTTGATTATCTCTGAAAAGACCTTCTTTCCAAATAAGGTCACATGTTGAGGTACTGGGGTTAAGACTTCAACCTCTGAATTTGGAGAGGATAAAATTTAACCTGTAACCACTTGGAATAAACATGTTACTATTATCATCCTCTTTATTGTTATTTCTACCCATTTTTGAACATTAGGTGCCGGACTCTGCAGAACATGATCTTGTTAATCCTCCCCCGAACACTGTGCAATAGATGGTATTTATTGACCTTATTTTAGAGCGAAGAGCCAAAGGAGCTGGCCTGGGGTGGTGAAGAGCAAGCAAATGGCCTAACCCATGTCTGTGTTATCCAACACGCTCCCATAAAGGATGGGGTGAGTCTGAGTTCTGAAAGCCCTTTCAGGCCTCTGAGATCCGTATTTTTCTGCAGGGCTAGAGTGAAAGGCTTTTTTGGCTTTGCCATTCTCAAGAAAATGGAGCTCTGCAGGACTCACAGGAAAGGTATGCATGTATTGAATTAGTAACAGGATCCTGAAGTACCAGCTGTCTTTCTTTATTCATAGCTTTTCAGAGCCGGAGGTACAGTGCAGGAGGAGGAGGAGGTAAGAGGAGGACAGAAGGTTGTGTAATTCTTATAGGAAGAAAGCCAAAAAGAAAAGGAAAAATGCAAGCAGCAAAACCGTGCAGGCGACTTTATAGAAAAGAGATGAATGTTCCACTGTGTCCTGAAATGGTCATGGAACACAGGGCTGGAGGAACTGTTGCCTTTTGCAGTTTTGCTGGAGGCGAGATCTAGACTTCATAAATTATCAGCCACTCTGCTCAGCTCAGCTCAGCTGTGTTCAAGAAACATGTACAGAGGAGCTGTTTAGCTGCATGCTCACATACAGAGACAGTCCCTGCTCTGCAGGAGCTGGGAGTCTGCAGGCGCCGCAGACCCACAAAGAGATCACCTTGGAACCAAGTGCAGAAGAAAGCAGATTTGTTGAAAGAAAGCTGAGGGGAGGCTCCGGAGCAAGGCTGGGGGTGGGGTGGAGTCAAGGAAGGCTTCTCTGAGGAGGCAATGGCTGAATCTTCAGAGTTGAGCATGGAGTTGCAAGGTAAAGTGAGGAAGGCAGTAGCATGAGCAAAGGCACACACATGTGGAGCCACACATATGTTGACCAGCAGGCATGGTGATCGGTGTGCATGGATATTCTAATTTGGGCTAAATGTGCCCCTTCTGGTGAGGTGAATAATGCCAAGCTTCTCTTCAAGGGTTAGGAGAGCACACCTTTCTAACTTCTTCCACTAGAATCTCACAGGGACAGAAATATAACACAATTTTGTTTTGGCCCAATAGGCTTAGAGTTGCCAAATATATACTCAACTCAATATGAATCAGAAAAATCAAAGCACTTTAAGGAAAGGATTAATTATTAAGACATATCTATTAAAGCTTAGCACTTAGGAACTAGCTACAAATTGGTTCTGAATAGAGCAGGGCAGAGATTCTGGACATATTCATTAGGTTCTTATTCCCCAACATCTTGCAAAGCGTTAGCTGACCCAGGTAACAGAAAGAGAAGTTCACATAACCCCGGCTAACTATTAAAATTTTTCCATTACCTTCCCTTGAGATCCACCCAAAGATTAGCCAAACATTTGGGAACACATCCTGCTGCTGCAAAGTTTTATGTACTGTGTCTTCCTGCTGGTAAAATGATGCTTAGTTTGTAAAAGTAGCAAGGGGCAGAAATTCAGAAAATGAATCTGTTGTTATTATAAATATACTCCCCTCCACCATATTCCACTAACAGAGATATCAGATAAAACGGCCACATCACAGAGGTACATTTTTCCTTAGAACAAAAGCCTGTTTTCTTTGTAATGTTAATCCTAATGTGGCTTTTAGAAGAAAATTAAATATTGATGAACCTTTTAGAAAATTTGTGGAATATAATGTGTCTTCCTTCATTATAAAAACTTTTTTTTTGTAGTTTTTAATTTTATTATGTTATGTTAGTCACCATACAACACATCATTAGTTTTTGATGTAGTGATCCACGATCCATTGTTTTC